GCCACCGCCGTGCCGCGGTCGTAGCTGCGGGCGATGTGGGCGCCCATCAGCGCGGCCCGGCACGAGGCCCCGCACCGCTGCGTTTGCTCCCTGTGTGGAGCTCCACACGCGGTAGGGCACAAAGCAGTAGCCCCAGGGCGCGGTTTTCAACCACAAACTTTATTTTATTGTTTATTTCTAAAGCACTCGCTGCAAGGAGCAACTGGGGCCATTTTGGGCTTTGCAACCCCCCACACGGCTCAGGGAAGATCCCATGGGACGAGACTGCTCAAACAAGGAGCAGCTTTGCAGCGCCACGTCCCACTCTGATGGGCTCCTTTTCCTTTCTTTCCCTCGCTGCAATTTCTGCAAATCCCCATTCCTGGGTGAGCAGCGTCCCGGCCTGGGGCCTCATCCTGCCTTGCAGCACCGTGGGGAAATGACTGCACACGGAAGCACAGGGAACACTGGGGAAGGGGCTACAGGGCCGGGTGACACGTGGACAGGGCTGGCCCCACTCACCGCTGCTCCCACCACCCCGCGCCCGGCAGGGCTGCACGTTCGCACGTTTGCACGTTTGCACGTTTGCACGTTTGCACGCGCGCTTGCACGCCTGCACTCCGGCACACGCACTTGTGTGGCCCGGCGCCCGCCGCGGTACCTGGAGTCAAACTTTTTGCCATCTTTAAAGGTGCCGTTGTAGTGGTAGCGGATGAAATCGCCCATCTGCGCCTCCCGCAGGCAGATTTTGGGGATATAGTATCTGTCTATGACCACGTCTTCCAGGGGCCCGGGGTCGCCCAGCGCCCGGGCGCCCAGGATGCCGGCGAGGAGGACGAGGCTGCCGGGGGCCATGGCGCTCGCAGGCTGCGCGGGAGCGGGAGCGGGGCCGGAGCCGGAGCCGGAGGAGGGGCCTCGGCCGCTGCTCCCCCCCTGCTCCCGGCCCCGGCGCCGCTGGAATTTCTGACAACGTGGACCGCGGCGCGGGTGCGTCACGCGCGGCCCGCCCCGCTCCACGTCAGGAGGCTTCGGGCTTGAAGGCAGTTCCTGTGCGAAGGGAAAAGCCGCAGGGACCTATTTGGAAACAAGTTCCTGCAGCTCCAGCTCCTGCCCGGCCTCGCTCTCGCGCGGGTCCCAGCGCCCGCGTTGGCATCTCCCCGGCCCTCCGCGCGTGGCGGTGCCTCTCCCGCCTCGGTTCAGGGTTATCGCCGCAAGGTTCGAGAGGCTGCTGTTGAGGAGGAGCAAATAGGAGGATTTAAGTGTTTTAATGGCATCTGGCACCCTGCTTTTATTGATGTAATGGTTAAAAATGTGAAGCAACCCCTCATTCTGCCACCCGAGCAGCGGCTGATGCCCATGGCCGTTTTGCCTGGGCGTCCCTGTCCCTATCCCCACGGATGCCCCCGCAGGGAGGCGAGCCGGGAGCGCAGCTGAGGCGGTGTCCTGGCTCCTGCCCCAGTGATGGATGTTGTTGGGTGCCAGTGACTCCAGGCTTGGGCCAGGGCCAGTGTGAGGCCGCC